ATATTAATAATACATTAAATTATACCATAAAGTGAGATGAAAATATTGTTCCAAAATCATTTTCTTAATTTATATTATTTTGGGTGAGATCTATTTACAGGAGGTGGCATAGTTTTATAAATTACGTTCAAAATTAAATTTTGAAGTATAAATTTAAAAAGATACTCACATTCTGACGTAATAGTTAAAATTTTTGGGTAGAAGGATAAATTTTCATAAGTTGTATTTTTAAACCCCATAAATTTCCTTTCTCCAATCCTCATTTACTCTGTTAAAAAAAAAAGTTTGAATTTGAAAAAATTAATTTTATTAAACATACTCTAATAATGTGAGGGTGTAATTTAAAATTATTTTAAAACATAATCTGAAAGTACACAAAATTTAATTAAGAGATAACTTAATTATAAATATAAAAATTATGTAATTTATATTATTCTTATGGATAAATATTAATTTTTTAAATCAAATATTGTATTGCAATGGACTGCACTTTACTGTCTATTCTCAATATCATCATGCTTCAATTTCATCTCAAGCCCTGTTTCTTTCTTCTGAGGGTTTTTTTCTTTTCTTTCCTTTCGAATTTGTAAGAAAAAGGATGTTTAAGAAAAAAAAATTGTTGGGCTGAGTTATGAATTAGGAGTTGGGCCACTCAGAACTCCTTCTACTTAGAAAGACCCGAGCCACGAGGTCCACCAAGCATTTCTTCTAGGGCTTTAAGAGTCATTCAAACGGCTGCAGAAGCCGAAGCCTTACTGATGCTCCAATAGACCCCTGACTTTCGGTGTTAGAGCCGGGTCCAGCTGTAGCTCCGAATGGATCAGTCCAATACCCCACAACCGGGGCAATTACTTTAGACAAAAAAGCCTATTATAAGAACATACAAATGCCTCTTTTTGGACGATGTGGGACTCTAACCAAAACTGAAAACGACATCATTTTGAACAAAAGCGTCCCTCCATTCTTAAAAATTAGAAACCCCATTTTAGGGTCATCAAAGTCTCTTTTCGATCCTTTTAAATGATATTCCATTTGACTCCTTAAAATTTATTTTTTACAGCCCTTTTTTTTAGCCATTCCATTAAGGTTTTTT